CAAGTGCTTGGGAGACACGCAGGTGAAGTCCTCGCACTCCGTCACCTCAGTGAAGTGTTCGCAGGCGTAGCGGTCGGCCATGTCCATCAGGTCCACACGATTGTGGCTCTCAGCGAAGGTACGTACCGCCAGGCAGTTCGTGGGGTGAAAGTGGGCCTTCATGTACTCACAGCAGGCTCTCGCCACCAATTCCACCTGAGATAAAGCAAATAAACGGAAATAGGATTAACAGATGATGTATTACCTGAAAGCAAAAAGTCAGAGACCCTTAATTCATGCAAAATAAGGAGGACAACGTGCATAAAAGCTTGGTGTTGTTGATTGTTTGTGTTTACCTGAAGGATGCAGGCAGCATACAGCAGAGGTTGAACATTGTCCACAGTTAATGTGAGCTTTGAGGAGTAAGCGAAATGCACCAGGTCCTGGATGGCGTCACCATCAAAGTCCTTGATCTCTATGAGGTTCTGCTTAGCCTCGGACATCTCTGACAGGAACATGGCCCTGAGGGAAGAAATGACCACAAAGTTTCAAATATTTTTGAATTCAGCTAAAGAAGTTTTTATATTTAGAACACTGTCATCATCTCCATCTACACAAAAGAACAACAAAACCACGTTCATGTGTTTTCACCGATATGAAACGGATATAATAAAAGACACAGGATCCAAGGACCTGTGGGAACCCAAATGTCAATATACCAGAACGAACACAGCAATTTTATCTAAGCATCTTTATATAAATGTTACATGAAATCAATTTTAAGATTAAATATCCAGCACCAAGGTAAACAAATATATATTCAAAAAATAGAACATAAAGATGTCCCATACCTGAAGTAAGGGATCACACAAGCCAGCACTAGCTTGTGGCATGGTATCAGCCTACTGCCAACCTACAAAGAGACACAAAACACATGTTTAAAAAAACAGGGGGAAAAATACAGAATATTGTGGTTTTGGCAGCGAATAAGGGATTTAAAAAAAATAAGATTAACATGAATTTCTGATTAATTATTCTATACAACTTTTTTTAATCGCAACCTTTAACATGGCAATACTGACAAACTTGTAAGACAAACAAATCTCCCACTTTACTTGAGTCAGATTGAGTGACCTACCTTCAGCGTGACGTCACAGAGCTCTCCGACTTCATAGAAATGTCTGAGGGAGTTATGGAAATCTTTCCAGGCCTCATGAGCCTCGAAGATAAACGACCCATCCGGCTCACAGTCTGCTTTCGGTGCCTTGATCGCAGGACGCTTCTCTTTGGGCTTCACCTGCTTGATATGGTCTGGCACCACATCCCCTGGTGCCATAGCTGGCTACAGGTAACAACACCTATAGGACAGAGAGGATTACATTATTAATGACAAATCAACTGTGATATTCAATTGTTTCTTCCAGCACGTCAGTGGTGAAGATTGTTGCCTATCACCACAGTTTTTCCCGCAAAAAACTCATAAATTGAACAATACATTGAATATTGATTTATGAAACCAAATACCCAATTGATAGGCTGTGAAGGAAATGATAAACAATAGATCATCGGCCCGTTCTCAGCTAAAGGCAGGCCAAATGTTCACTGCATGATGTAAGAATACCTTGCAATATGAAATAGAAACCACAACTCGGTGCAAATAACCTTCTGCAGATTTCCATGGAGGAAACAAAAGCGGAATCGGTGGCGGGGGACACTGCCTGCCAGCTGAGCAAGTTCAGTCAGTATTACTCTCCCTTTCAGTGTCACTTCCCCTTCAACTCATTCCTTCAACAGAGGCTAAAGACAATACATAAAACATGCAGATTCCTCTAAGCTTACAGGCAGAGAACAACTGTGCAATCGAACCCATAACAATTCCTACCTATTGATGAAGCTGATGAAAAATCTCCACAGCTGATACTTTCAGAGAGAAACTGAAGCAGACAGCCCGAGGCCAGAGCTCCACCCACATCTTTCAGATGATGCCGTCTCTCTGTTAAGCTATGTCTCTGACACTGAATAGACAGTGTATCGCCCCCTCATCACTAGTCCTCTCAGCTATAAGAGCAGAAACATCAAGTCACATCATATGCACTAGTGATCAAAGGCTCTCTATCTCCACTTCTGATAGGCTTCATCTATGCAAGCACACGTAGGGACTTTGTAATATTCCCTTAACTCAATGACAGTCAGGACTTTCATATCCTTAAGATGATAACATTGTCAAGTTGTATTATTTATGAGGAGTGAGATATTCAATAATTTAAAAAGGCAGAGATGTATTTCAGAACTCTGCTGAACTGAAAAAACAAACGTGGTGACAGCAACCTATTTTTAAATGCGTACATATGATTTCAATGCATCTGCATACAAAAGGGACTTCCATTAAGCAACCAAAGAACCCATTAGATAGACATGTGTAGAAAACCTCTATGCACTCATGACACCAAGAACACATAGTCTGATCACAGTATAGTGACAGTAACTACACAATTATTTGAGCTTTCATCTGAATGTACATTTGTTGTAATATTTCCTTTTAAGATATTGAGGCAGATTGTGAAAAGGAATGATAATTGTCAAGCAGACTTATTGAAACGCAGAAGGCAGGACAAATATTGCACATCTACAGTATGTATTTCTTCAGATTACACATCACACATGCACGTTTTTACTATTGTATCTATACCTAAGAAGTAGATACTGTTTTTGCCATCCAAACATGGTGCAACGCTAATCCCAAATCTCCAACTAAGTATTCAAGTGTGGAGCAGCAGAGTACTTCAATCTTGTACTTAAGTCAAAGTCAAACTATCAGAGGGTAAGTAAACTCTGTCACAAGTTAAAATCCTGCAATTAAAATGTTACTCATGTAAAAGTACAAAAGTATCAGCATCAAAATGAAGTACTCATTATTCTGATTGGCCCATACCAGAATAATACATATGACATGTTTTGATTATTATTATTATTGATGCATTGAAGTGCTATTAAAACTGGTAAAGGTGCAGCTAGTTTGAATGACTGGATAATGCAGGGTAGCTTGTGAATGTTACTCCAGGTGTAAACAAAGTCGTGTTGAATATATTTCACATCATTAAACAAATTCTGAAAAGTAACTAAAGGTATTAAATTAAGGTTATGGCGTAAAACACACCATTTACCTGTGAATTATAGGGGGATAGAAGTACACAGTATCAACACATGACATTGAAATACAAGAGAGTACAGTACAGTACTTCAGTAAATCTACTTCGTTACTTTACACCACTGGTGTGCACGACACTTTTTCTAGTACGTGCCCGAATGTATGTCACAAAGATAGTGTCCAACTACTCCTGGACACTATAATAAAGAGAATATTTAAAGCAAGCAACCATTTAGGATAAAACACCACGTATAACGTTACTGCAAATATCACACACACCTAGCCAGTTCAATGTAAACTATCACGAGCAGCATCTTGAGTCAGAATCATGCACACTTCTCGGGTGTGATACCAAAGCATGCTCATATTGATCGCAGTCATGTTAACACATAACTATTGGTATAACAATTGACAAAAGCTGGATTCAGAATCTAAAACACAAACAGTTATTAGTTTGTTTGACCAGCTCGGGTTATAAGGGGTTATGTTAGGTAATGTTGCCGCATACGTACCGTGTTCACATCCTATAGTTAAAGTTGGACCACATGGAAGTGTGTCTCTCTCTGAAACCAGGAAAAATAGCTACCCGACTCTAATAAGTGCGATAAAGCTATCTATAGACTATCAATTACGGTTTTATCGTTAACGGTTGGCTTGTTTGCTAACGGCAACTAGCAAACAGTTAGCTTCCGCGTAGAGCTAATGTTAGCATGCAGGGGGCGGAAGGGATAACGCCGTGAGTTTACCGATAATATTAAATTTAGAATACCACAAATGAGTATAAGACATTGGACAATGGTTGAGCTATTTCAAAAATATTTAATTTAGATACCTCATGTCGCAGCAAGAATTAAGACGCCGGCTTCATTGAGCGGAATGTTTTTTATTTTTGGCACGTTTGTTGTGATTCCAGGTGCTTCATGGGAATTGTAGTTTTAAGTATTCAACGCCAGCTGAAGGAACGTAATGAAACCTTTATATACAGTCTATGAATGAAACCCTGCCAAATATGGCTTTTCCGCGAAAAAAGGATGGTTCTGCAAATGACTTTTTCATTATGATTCTCAATATTGTATTGCATTGCAGTAAAGGGCTTCAATATACAATGCTGGTTGAAAGCAACAAGATTTAAGTAAATGTATTTTTGTTTCAAAATCTTTAAAATGTGATACCTTAAAATATCAAATTGCTTCACATTTATAAATTAATTACAGAGGTCCGACAATAATGCGTACAAGGGTCTAGCTAAACTTTCTTCGCTTTCCCAATCTAATTTAAGAATAAATGTTCATCATACCACTTTTCTAACACCTCTAAAAGTATTCATATCAAAGTTGATTTTAGACTATTGCTTCATATTTAACTTTAGATCATTTGCTTTCAAACATCCCTGCAAATAGTGTGCAGTTAAACATGAAATAAACACATAGTGGTATGGCAAAGAGATGATCTGTCTTCTGCCTCACTGCACACAGGTTTAAGTTAATAAGGCACTAAAATAGAGAATAATGTGCAAAGTACATGAGTCTGACAATTGTTATATAACTATATTGCCCAATTAAATCTTTGCTAAAATTATACATTAACACCATCTCATCATGATTTGAGTTCCATTTACTGTATATCAGTGCAGTGTCTGCATATTTCAGATTTTAACACCAAACATATTTTTCATAGAAATGATTCCCTAGGCATTTTGATCCATATAAGAGTTTGATGTCTGTTATAGTGATTACTTTAATGAGTTTGCACTGTACGGTAAATTACTGAAATTCCAGTAAGTTGAACTGTGACTAATGAGAGGCTTTTGATCAGGGAGGGAGAAAAGGCTTTAATAAACAGAACAAAAAATAATGAGACTTACACAGAAACCTTCACACAATAATGACCAAATATTGTTTATTTCAGAATATTGTAAATGGATACAGGTTATATGCTGAAAATAATACATTGATAAACTGACCATGTTTGACAGACGAGGCAAATTCATCATAACATGTCCTTCTAGTGCAACTTCTTCTTTTTTAGCAGTGAATCCCGTAGAGCAATCTGAAAAAGAAAAAATATTTAAATTACAACTTTATATTCAATAAAATCAATTAATCTGCAGTGAGATACAGTAGCTGTTTCTGACAGGTGTGACTGACCTGTTTGTCTCTGAAGGAACGTTTGCCTTTAGTTCTGACGCCCTCGCTGTGTCTCATCATCATGAAGTTCTTCGTCTTCCTCTTCTCCTTGTTGCTGGTGCTGGCGAAAGGGTTGAGCTTCTGGTGCTTCTTATGAAAGTCCTTCCGTTCGGACCTTCCCGCCTAAAATCAAACGCACCATTAGAACGGAAATGGTTAGTTGATCAATTCATTGTTTGATCAACAGAAAATGTATCAAAAAACAGTTTTAATAATGAAAAATACTAAGAAATGTACCGGTCCCAACTGTTATTTTGTGAATATTTAGTGTTTTCTAGTTGTACAATGATAGTAAAACATGTGTTTTTCCTGTCATTTTATAGACCAAATGATTAGTTAAGGCAATAATCAGTAGGAATATTATATGTAATGGGAATAATTATAATATGCAGCCACTAGGGATGGGTATCGTTTGAAATGTATCGATTCCGGTTCTGCTTATTGATTCCGGTTCTTATTGATTCCCCGTTTCGATTCCAAAATTGTAAAAGAAAGAGGTGAAACGTTTAGATAACAAAAATATCTTTATTTTTTTAAGCTTTAACTGACATTTTTACAAATACAAATATATACATGCAATACAAATGTATTGCACAATAGCTGTGCTTTATTTTAACTGAGCTATGCCTTTGGCAAGCTATTAACAGGCATTACACTGTGCCTTGTCTTTTTCTTTTTTAGTGTAGTGGAGCCTCACTTTAGAGCGTTTACCGCGATCCATCTTTGGTGTTTTGAAGTGACTGAGCTTGTGAACTGTCTACGGGAGGAGCCTCGCTGCGGGGCAACTGTGGACCTCTGTCGCCGCAACTTACATGATGCCGTTTAAAAAAAATTAAGGGCGGTGCCGGCCGTCAGCGTACCGAGCCGGCCGTCAACGGCCCGCTGACGACCGGCCGTTCTGTGATTCTCCAGAACACACAGATGGCCAGTCCGCCCTTACCCTGCTGTATTCCACCGGGTCGCCGTGGCGCAGACGGACCCGGTGGAATATAGGGTCTACCGCGTTTAGTAACCGTTAAGCAGAACCGAAATTGTGTATTTTGTATGGGTACCCGGCATTTTCTTATCGGTTCTCATCTGGAACCGAGTTTCGGTTCCCAACCCTAGCAGCCACGCATCATTGCTTACCCTCACATTATACAAACTGCTTGTTAATGACATTTCAGAGTCAAAGGTGTTTCAGCTGGTTAAGAAACAATGATTTCACATCAGATATACTTTACATCCCTCTACAGTTAGCATAAAGGTTTACCTTTGCTGTTGCCAGGCGCGTGTCCTTGTCGTCTTTTGGTTTCTTATGCAGTTTCTCAATATGCCTCAAGGTTAGCACCTCTCCTCTGAAAGAATGGGCAAAAAACAACAAAATAGTCTCTTTATCTTCCCAACAACTATTGTGAATACAATTTCACATGTGTACATATTGCTTTAAGCTTTTTGTACAAACAGCTTTCCAACCTGTTGTCCTCCTCTTCGTCGAGGTCCACATTTGTCCTCTTCTGGCCCTTTCCTGGCGCGTTGTCGATCTCCTTAGCCAGCTGGACGAGTCGGATCTTCTTGAAGTCTTCCTGAGTGAGGAGCCGGCTGCCGCTGACCGCCGCCGCTTTGACCTTTCTTTCCTCAACTGGCATATTCTGAAGAATCTCCGCCTGACAGAAACACACAAAACTCTCATATTGAAACACAAATACCATACACAACTAACATCAGTTTATAATTGGTAACGTTTTATTCTTACCACTTCTGCTGTGTCTTCATCACCCGAGTGGTGAACGTCCACCCACTCCCCATCGTCATCACCATCACTGATACTGGCGCTCTCCCAGCCATCTGTTGGACAATATGGAAAATAGGCACATTAGCCTTACATTGATCATCTTCCAACACACATACACAGAGCAGCAAGATCATAGCTGCTCACCTTGTTCTTTCTCTCCATCTTTTTCAATCTCCTCCACCTCCAGGACTTCAGCTCCAGGGATATAATCTTTAGCCTCGAGCTCTCCGTAGTTTTTGATCTTGGCCTCTGCTGACGCCTCTGTGGGTCTCCCCTGGAAAAAACAAGTGGCAGAGTTTACAATTATTTACAATTTAAAAAGACACAGTGATGAAGTGCTCTGTCAGTCTTGCAATACGAACAACAAGGGTCAGAGCAGCCCTCGGCCACATGCCCTTTCTTGCAACATTAACAAAAGTGGAAAATCTGCTTTGTGATTCGGTTTTGCTTTATACATCTAATTTGTTCTTCCTTGGACCAAAATACACGAAAACCAAGTTTCTTGAATATTGCTCTTGTAGTTTCTCCCCAATCCTAACGAAAATCTATATAATAATAATCTGAATTTAAGGTAACCGTAACCCTAAAAACATTATTGCCACAAAAATATAAAAGAAAGGTGGCACAACACACTGGGAATGTCATCTCCTATATATATATATGTTTGTGAATAAATACAAACAATCCTAATGACAAGCAAACAAACTCAACCGAGAACATAACTTCTGGCAAAGGTAACTATACTCACGATTGCTGAATGTGAAGTTATCATTCAGTTCTTTAAAAAGGAGTGTTGTTTGTTGTAAAAGTAACATCTTGCTCACCCTGTCTCTCTTGTGCAGCATGTGTGGATTGAGACTCCTGAACAGCTGGATCAGTCCCTTGGCAGACATCATCACATCTGAACGCAAATACAGACAAAACATGAGTGAACATGCACATATATTTACACCTCCTTCACTCGGTGCATTGGGATTCAAGGACAGGTGTCAGAAAAACGTTCACTCACTCTTGTCTTTGTGCATCTTGTACTGAACCAGGTCCTGCAGCAAGTCTTCATTGAGGGCCAGAGGACAACGGGCGGCCACTTCCCTGATGGCATTGATACTTGAAACAAAAAAAGAGTAACAATTGAATGCAAAACTGTAAAGTATTTCTTAGAAGTTGCAAAATGACTGCAGATATAATGCACATTGTTAACCATGCATACATTAAATCAGAAGTGTCCAGGGCTTCTACCTACCCCACAGTCATGACCTCCCCGGAGTTTCTGTCTGTCACAAAGTTGTTGGCGATGGTCATGATAACAGGTTCAATGACCTAAACAGGAAGGAATGTGTGAGAAGAGTTATACTGGAATCATTCTGATAGCTGCGTGTGCTTTATCACGATAAATATACATGTACCTCTGGTGGGACGAGCTGATGTGAAGCCTGAGCTGCACACAGGAGGATCTTTGTCACCTCTCAAAAAAGAAAAAAGGTTTCTTTAAAACATTTCATCAACAGTAGGGGCAGGGGAAATAAATCAATACAGGATATATCCCAATATCTTACACACACACACACACACACACACACACACACACACACACACACACACACACACACACACACACACACACACACACACACACACACACACACACACACACACACACACACACACAATGTATCAGTCTTTTAGTATGGACATTATTAATATAACATTTACAGATTTAAAAGTTAGCAAATGTTTTTGCATTAATAATTTGTAAATGAAAAAAGTGAATAACTTGCAATACTCATAATATTGTTAAACTTCAATAATAAGGTATTGTGATATATTGTGCCAATACCAAATCATGAGGTCTCTGGTGATTCCCACCTTTATTATTATTATATTAATTATTAATTAATTACACAGAGATTACATTACGCTGTGTAAAGCGCACATATTTTCTATATAGTATGTCTATTTTATTTATATGTATAGTAAGTCTTTATATTTTAAACACACACTTTATCTTTAATTTTATCAGCACCACGTCACTATTATTTATTTATATGTACAATTTTAGCAAGTTTTTATATTGTCCTGTTCCTGTAAGCCAGTACAACGAAATTTCGTTTTAATAGTACACCGTGTCTTTTTGAAATGACAATAAAGTATGTCTATGTCTTTAATAAACAGATACAAAACGTCTCATTAAGTTAACTGGGAGTTATGTTACCTCTCTGATGTGGCTGCAGAAACCTCTGGATAAAGGGATAAAAATTGAAGAGGAAGAGCTGGAAAACAACAAAACAAAATAGTATTATACTCACTATAAAATCTACTTCATACCTCATTTATATTCAATATAATGCAGCGTCAAAGGCATGATTCCCATGGCCCATTCAGAACTGTATAGAAGTCTGATCCTAATGTTGACAGTGCCTATTAGGACCATTTCATATCTGGTGGAAATGTAATAACACCTGCACAAAAGAACAAATCCGCTATGCAAACCAATTAGGGGGACAGATGAGACCACTCACCTCGTGGATTCCCACCAGTCTGGATATGAACTCCATCATCATCATCTTCACCTCAAAGCGCTCTTTAGAGTCTTCCAACTGCTTCAAGAGTTTCTCTGAGAAATCTAAATGAAAGAGATATTTGATTTGACAGTTCTGTAAACATGGGGAAATGACCCTACACATACATTTTGTTCTGCAGTGGGTGAGGAAAAGAGGAGTGAACCTACCTTGAGGATCGTGAATCAGGTGAATAGCAGAGAAGTTGAACACTTCTACCCTTTTCTTTTTCTTGTGTTTCTGCCAAAAGAGTTCAAAACAATCAACTCAATTCATTCAATTGTAAAATATAACGATATAAGTCATGATATTGTAGTATTAACAAGAGTAGTACCTTGAGGACTTTCATTGCCTTGTCCATCTTCTTCTTGCTTTTGGTGGTTTTCTTGCCAGTGGCGTATCTCACCTTCAGATCTCGGACTGTTGGCCCCTCCGCCTGAAAGATAAACATTTAAATATCTTACATATGCATCAACATCACTGCCTTCTAGACTGAGAAAAGTATCCTTTCTCTAACTACTTTATGTATATGCATTTATTGGTACTTGCCTCGGATTCTGAATCGCTGTCATTTTTCTCATCTTCATCTTTGCCCAGGAAGAACTTCAGACCAGCAACAACAATCTAAACAGGAAGAGAGGTAAGTATGTACAGGACTGCAACTAATGTTATATAAAAAGCAATTGGTTGAAATGTGGGAAAACCTACCTTTGTAACCTTGGAGAAGCACGCTGTTACAATGACATTGACTGTTTTGGCATCGTTCCTGTGACCCAGACAAAAAGACAATTAGATTAAAGTGGAAAATAATAAGAATGACTTATGAAGTCTGGTGTAAAAAATAAAACCCACCATATGTTCCTTTTGTAAAGCTCCACCATTACATCTAAAGAGATCTTGGCTGCGAGGGGATTACTGTCTCTCAGCATGGTGTACATGAAGTTCTGTAATGTCTGCAACACACAACACAATTTCTCCGACAATGAGCTCTGGAGTGGAACAATAGAACTAACAGTCAAACTTGACACATGTGGTTTGTTTACTTACTGTGTTAACTTTGTTATTTTTGTGCTTGGCATTGATGTTTTTGATATCTGCGACAATGTGTAAGTACAGTGTCTGTGGAGAGAGGGAAGCAAATGTTTACTTCTGAAAAGGGGAAGAGTGAAACATTGAAAGAGCAACCCTTAAACATATCAATATGTAAACACACACAACATCAGGAAAGCATTTGAAATGGTCTTTTGATTCTCCCCGTGACTCACAACTACCACTCTTGTAAATTCATACAAAATATAATACCCACTCACTCCATGCTTAGAGTAATGTTCTGTGTGATCTCACCTTTCTGAGCAGTTTGTCGTGACATCGCAGCAGCTCAAAGAAGAGCTCCAGGAGGCCGCAGGGGTCGATCAGATCTTTATTCCTCAGAAGAATCAGCGACTTGCAGAATGTCTGATGAAGACAGGAAACAGACACAAACATTGAAATGCTAAGAGACACATACTTTTGATCAATTACTTAATATGGATAGGCACAGGTTATCTCACCATTCTGAGGTCTGGATGCAGGACTGTGTGGTGACTCATTAATAACTCACGCAGCTCTTGTGGAAAGGTTGACAGTTGCTGCAGGTAGCAGTGAGAAACCTGAATGACACAAAAACAGCTGTAACCTCACACCATCAATATCAAAATAAATATTACTGAGCAGCGGTGTGAGAAGTACATTTACTCAAACTTGAGGTACTCGTTCTTAAGTATTTACATGATATACTTTACTGCATTACATCTCAGCAGCAACTGTTGTGCTTTTTACTCCACAGGATTTACATCTATGGGTTTAGTTAATATTTTACATCATTTTTGTATGCATGTCAGTTTATATTTTTACATTTTCTTGTACTAATGTACATCTTATATGTTTGTTTGTATAGGTTTTTAATAATAAAAGTGTGGAGAGCTGAGCGTAAGAATGTCCTTTTACAGTGCAACTGCCTGTTTTACAATGACAATAACATATCGTGAATCTTAAAAACAAAACACAAGTATATCCAAGTAAAGGATCTAAAATATTTCCTCAATTGCTGATCAGATATATACAGACTCAATAAAGGTACAGACAAGAGTAAAGGAATACTTATACCGTTATAATGAACATTTGTATATCAATTTCCCACTAACAGACAGAACAGTACCTGGGCCAGAAACATGGAGAGATCCGCCAGCTCCTTGTTCGGCTTGTCAGGCTGCAGTCTGAAGATCTGCATATTGGACTGGTAGTGTCGGTACTGCTGCTGAAACTGTGCAGAAACCACCATCGATTAATTTCCTCTAATATGTTTAGTCTCAGACTAACACAACAAGTCGACTAGCTAGTTAGCAAGCTCGGCTAACAACACTTACCTCCTCCACGTAAGACTGCGGATCTCTTTTAATAAGATTCTGCAGTTGCGGCAGATTGTTTGGCAGCTTGTTGCCTGTTCTCCCCGACATGGTTGCAGATGAATTCGCGTGTTTCTTAACAAGAAAAATATGAAAAACGGCAACTTTTACAAGGCAAGCGTGGCAGATGTGTAGGCTGCCATTTAACTTGCGCTGGTACGTCCAAACGTCATTTCCGGTTTTAAGAGTCACTTCCGGTTTGATCACAGGAGGAGTTTCCTTCTTTGCTGCCAGTTTTTCAATTACTAAAACTTCACACAGCTTTTATGTTTCAACTTGAATGTTTCTTTTATTTCATATTAATATCTTTGTTTCTTTACCAAGCCTTCTTTGCAAACTATTATTCAATGGCTTCAATATCATGTGAACTAATGAGTAAACACATTGCAGAAATATATTTATAAACTAGACAAGTAGCACTCAAATATTGGGCTCGATTTTAATTTTTTCAATTTTACATGTCTATATTTCAGAAATGCTGTCATTGTATTACTACTTTTTTCAATAGCTTTGGCATTGTGTGACCCGATAACTCCAAATCAATGCGGCATTGCATTGATATTTTTAAGGCAGGTATAAAATGGGAAGCCTACTTTTAAACGCATGAATGATTTTATGTTTATGGAAACATTATGCTAATAGGCAATATGCACCGATATGACAAGACAAGAAAAACCTTTGTTTCCTAATTATAAATGAAAGAAAAAAACCTCCACACAACATTTAAAATGTATCCAGTTTAATTTTCATGAGATGAATATGTACACTTTTAATTTCATCATTTACCTCAAGCATTGAGCAATTACTGTATAATAGATTTACAAAGCAAATACTGACATAGTATTCTGTCAAGGCATGTTCCAGCATTAAAATAGGATTCAAAATACACAAAGTACAATTTTGTTCCACATAATTATTTTAGAATATCCATGAATCTGGGAAAAAACATTTGTGTTTTCTTGTAGGTGACAAGAAATACAATCAGCAGTTCTCATACATGCATTGAAAAGGAGTAGCAGCCAAAGAGAGAGAGAACTCAAAAAGCAAATGTAAAAATATAGACTTCTTTAAAAAGGATTTACTCTGAAAGATCTGAATATTTTAAGGCATTTTAAAAACATGTAGTGTACATTTGGCAATTTCTGCCTGTGTGAACTCTCCTCCATTTTAGTTTTGCTCTTGTGAAACAGTCGAACAGCCTCCACATGACGGCTCCTATCCAGAGATGTTTTCTTCTGCTTGAAGGCATCTCAGGACATAGAGGATCACTTGATAGCAGAAAATATATTGGTCCTGTAAAATAAAAATAAAAAAGGTGTGAGAAAATGTGTACCAAAGAGGTGTCTTATAAGTTAAGATACAAATAGAGTACATCAAAAACACCAGTGCCTAATAGAATAACCATACAAGCAGGATACATTTAGTAAATCATTTACAAAATGAAAAGTAATATTTGCATCAAATAGTTTAGAGTTAAGATAATCTAACTAAGATACTAAAACCAAAAAGTAAAACTCACCTCTGTCTGCACCATTCCCTGTCTCTGAAGTCTCATGTTTCTTACAATATCTGAAATATCAAACTGTAGAAAGTAATTATTAGATTGTGATCATACTAAACAAAGACTACAAATAAGAGCAGAAGCTTTTTTATAAAGAATACATAAACTGCACAAAGTAAAGATTGTCTACTTACATCAGCGTCTTTGCTGATGAGACCCAGAACCACGTCTAGACAGATGAGGGTTCCTGAGCGGCCGATGCCTGCGCTGCAGTGTGTGATGATTGGCCCCGATCGATGGACGTGCCTCATGTAGGAGATAAATGTGAGCAGCTGCTCGGGTTGTGAGGGCGTGCCGTGGTCCGGCCATCCCGTGTAGTTCAGATGAGTTACACGCTGTATTTCATTAGTCTGAGGAGGGAGAAACTCTTAAGTTAATGCGTCTATTCAAGCTGGGGTAGGCAGGCTATTTTGGCTGTGATGGAGCAACAACTCCATAATGATCATTGACCATTTAACATATTGTAATTCAAGTGATACTCCAGGGTTAGGCAGTTTTCTTGAAAAGGAAAAAAAAACAGTATGATGTTCAACTATAAGTAATTGGTTTCAAATATCATTCTGATCATGTCATCCAGATAATGTTATATAGTAGCAATTCTATGGCAATTACCCCCCTCTACTCTTTGCAAACCTTTATTACAACATGCTGAAAGGTCATTTTAAAGGCCTTCAACCAATTTGAAGTTTTAGTTGCAATCTAAAATCTGGAGACAAACTAACCTGGACATCTTTGACCTCGATGACTCGGATGACAAAATTGTCGAGGTATTGGTCTTTGATCAGCGTGATCTGTAACCTGTCGTCCACCATCTCTGCTGTCCTCGGAGTGTCGGGCCAGTACCGCTGACATTTCACCTTCCCCCCCTCTACTTCCTGGGTCATCATGGCGATCACATTGGACTTCTGCTCCCAGACCATTTGCCAAAAGTCACCCAGGGTGGTGGGTAAAGGACCCTGACATGCGATGTACAAATAACTCTCTTCTTTCACTGACATCTTGATGAAGTTGGCATTGATGTAGCCGCCGTCTTTTTCCAGCACAACTCGAGTTGTGTCAACTAGAAGAGATGGGTGCATACAAATCTGATTTCAAATGATGTCAAAAACTTTGAAGGGATCTATTTAATCTATATATTGAGTATTTTCACCGCTTCACCTTGCCACCCGACAAACCCCCTATTAAAAGGTAATGTGAAAATAAAAAATCCATTGGGACTTACAGGGAACAATGTTCTTGTAGCGGTTCTTCTTCTTGTTCTCCTTTGTTTGACCTATCAGACAGTCGTCCAGAGGCTGGAGATTCTGAAGGTTCTGCCACGAAGAAAAGAAGACGTTTATTAAATCCAATTATTTGCAATTAATTTGACAGACATTGACATGACTTACTTCAAACTCCTGCAGGGGGACCTTCTGCTCCAGGAGCCCCCTTATCATGCGGACCACAGTGTTGAGCTTTGCTTCTGTGTACTGGCCATCAGGGACCACTTTGACGAGGGGCAGAGAGGTCAGCTCATCCTCTGTGATGATTGGCTCGTCTTAGGGGGGCAGAATGAAGGACGGAATTACAAATCCTATTGTGTCATTTTAATGTGTTTTGAAAACTAAATAAACATTTAAATCCAAATGTGTCTTACCATCTTGGGATTTGTTCATGTTTTCAATAGGCAGTTCCTCACTTCCCCATGTGATCTCATCTTCCTCTGGCTGTCCAGCACTCATTTGCAGATAGCTGTTGATTTAAACAAATAAACAGTGAGATATTTATGAATAAATAATAATAAAGTCCCCATTGTGACTGATTTATATCCAAAAATGAAAATCTTACTTTTCATTCCTTGGATAATCAACACTCTCCTCTTGCCATTCCACTTTCCGGGAACTCTGTTATTGAACAATGAAAGAAAGATATAACTTTTGCATATTGTTTTAATTTGACAGCAGGTCTAATGGATTAGATTTGACCTCAGGCGAGTCTTCAGGTAAAGAAGAGCCATCGCAGTCTGTGTCCTCCGAAAGCTCAGCGCTGTGATCTGTTGTTCTTTTCTGTTCTAATGGCTCATCTTCATAGTCTGCGAAACATGGGAACACAGATATGTTAATGAAGTTTACAATTTTATCATTTGATTTAAAAATGAATGAATCTTGCTGGTAAAATCATACAATATTCAGGATTGTCCTATTAATATTTAAGGTACATTTTCCAGCCTGTGTGTTTTTACCTATTGGTGGTATAGAAGGGAAGCCGCTAGATTTCAGCTCATCATTGAGAGTAAACAGCTTTGTTTTCGCGCCACTGTCGTCACTCAGATCTACAAACAACAAGAAGGAGAGTTAGGCGTGTTTAGAGAGAAACATCTAATTATCACAAACTCTAACACTAGTCACAATCTGGTTTTAAATGAGCTCTTCTTAAATGGTTAAAACAGGATAACTATCAGACAAAACCTTTCTAAAATATACATGATTTGTGTGTCTGCTTGTACCTGTGTTTCCATTGCACTTGTCAGAGTTGATGGGCAGGTAGGCCAGGTAAGTGTTTGGGTTCTGGTCGGGCGGTCTTGACACTATGAGATGAACCAGGCCTTTAGCTTTACGGATAGTGGTGACAGCTTTGGTGTGAGACACGCCTGTCATTAGTTCTTCATTCACCTGCAAGGAAAACACAGACAGAAAGAAATCACACGATTGAATACACGAGGATCTCAAAAACAAAAGTAAAACATTGTAGAGCATTTAATAATGTGTTATTTATTTACATGGCGTTAAATTAATTTATTAGAAATGAATAATTGCTCTTTTTCTTCTGAATTCTATGTATTATTTATATTTTTTTCATCTACTTCACTTGTTCCTTTTATGTCTTTGAAATTGTGCTTTTTGTGTTTTTATCTGGAAAGGAAATAGGACTATTCCATGTTTGTTACTTTTAAAAACAACCCCTCACAATACAACTATTTAACATATATTTGTTCAAAGTGTGGGCAGAGGCCAGCAGTTACAATCAATTTGTCCAACATTTGAACAGTAAAATAATGGCAAAATCTTGTTAAACAAAAGTATATAAATATGATATTATCAGCCTAAATTCTGAGCTGTATTTGTGTGACACCACTCACTTTCAGCAGCCTGTCTCCCACTTGCAGTTTCCCCGAGGACTCTGCTATTCCTCCCGGTGTGATGGACTTGACAAAAATCCCTCTTTCTCCTCCGATCACAGAGAAGCCCAGACCTCCTGACTGCAGCTTCTCCAGATCCAGCCTGATGATTTCCTCCTGCAAATTCAACAAACAAACAAACAAACGTGCCATCACCTTTAATCCATGATTTAAAACTTTAGTATACTGTTAGGAAGTGAACAAGTCATTAAAGTAATGATTTTTTAACAGACAAAGCTTGATGGTAACAGTCAAGCATTTAATGACAGCCAACCAGTGGCGGTTCAAGAACATTTTACATGGGGGGGCAAAGGGGGGGCAAGAGGTCATGCCAGGGTGGCATGGGAGGGCGGACAGTACGTGGTATTTTATACTGTATATAACCTATTTATTGTTAATTCATGCCCTAACACAAGTGTTCTTAATGCACAAGAGAAACAAGGTGTTCAGACAAACAATCG